ATGATAAGCAGGGCTACTGGGTTCCTGGCCGGACCTTAGAAGCACCCATGCATCTCCAACTACAGCAAGAACTTGTTCACCTTCCCCTCCCAATTGCGCTTCGCCACCCATGCCGAGAGGAACGTTTCCAAGCCCTGCAAGCCATTGACGCAGTAGTCCTGCATGATTTAGGGTTTAGGGAGTAGTTCCATTGCTTCTTTCTGCAGGCCTCAGCAGCTGACACACCAAGAATACGACTTTACAGCTGACTCCGAAACCTCAACCCCTCAAGCCCAAAGCCTAAGACGAGGGAGGGTGGGGGTAAAATCAGTTCCGTGGTCTTTGCATCGAAGTATTGCCTTCAGCTTTGAAAGGTGGGTTTAGGGTTTAGGGTTTAGGGTTTAGGGTGGGAGGGGAGGAGGGTAGGGTTTTAGGGCTTCAGGGTGTAGAGGAGGTAACCGGATCCAAAGTACTGCAACTGCCATCTCCTTCCTTGGAACCTCGCCCCTGCCCCTCTACCCGTCCCCTAAACACCATGAAGGAATGTTAGGGTCTAGGGTCTGGGGTGTAAGCTTTCGAGGTCTTCCGACTTTTGTTGAGTCGCGGCTGCTGTGGCGGTCAAAGCGACCGTCCATCAGGTTTATGGGGTTGAAGGTTCCGGGGACTGAGTCTCTAAACCCTAAACCCTAAACCCGAAACCCTAAACCCTAAACCCTGAACCCTAAACCCTAAACCCTAAACCCTAAGCCATGTCGTGTGGAGACCGAATTCCTGGCGGCACTGGGCGAGGTCGAAGGTGCTGGTGGTGGCAGAGGCCATCCACTCACAGACGAAGGGCCTTGGATCTCGGTTTAGGGTTTAGGGTTTAGGGTTTAGTGGTTCAAGGGTTCAGGAGTTTAGGCTAGGAAGCGACACCGAGACCTCCCCAGCAGCCCTATGTTGCCTCTTGGCTTCCTACTGAGCTGTTGGGGGAAGTCATGACACCACGCAAGAAACAAGGTTCACCCCCCACCCCCTGTAAACCCTGATTAAACCTTGGGTTCGGGAGCAGCAGGCTTAGGGTTTGGGATTGAAGGTTTAGGGTTTGGGGTTTAGGGTTTAGGGGGAGCGTGCAGATCCCCAGAGCAGTGAAAGCAATCAACCACACGCTAGCTACATGCTTTGCTAGGGCAGTCTGACTGATGTGTTTGATGTAAGTTCTTCTGCCCCCCCCCCCAAATTTCCAGGCTCCTGGAACATGCAAAGCTCCAGTTCAAGACGTCTCCCACCCCGCCGCCACATTAACGTTCTCCAACATACAAAAGCGCGAAGCCATACATTGACAGCGACATCGTTGCAAACTTGAAACAGTCCCCGAAACCCTACACCCTGAACACTACCAGTGCCCCACTTAGAACCCTCCAGCGCGACATCCAAAGAAAACTGGGCTTCAGCCCCGTTGGCTTAGCTTGCACCTCCTTGCTCGTCTTGACGTTTGAAACAAGCGGTGACACCGACACTCCCCTCAAAAACCCTTGTTTCATGCTCACTTGGACTGTGCAAAATCACAAACGATTCAATATTCCTGAGCATCTCGGGCCCGGAGTACCCAAACCAACACAGGAAGGAGCCAGAAAAACACAACCCTAAGCCCTAAACCCTAAACCCTGATGCTAGCAGCAGAGCCGCGGAAAGGCAGCCTTTGAAGTGACGCCTGAGCTGGAGTTCCCGAGCATGGGACTCTCTGCTTATCAGGAAGCTGATGGTTCTAGGTGCTTGAACCCTAAACCCTGACCCAAAACCCTACCCCTTAAACCCTAAACCCCGAAGAATCCCTAACAACATCCTCATCGCCCTTTTCGCAGAATTTTGTCAGCTCCTGTTGTTCCTTTACCCTCCGAAATCTCCATGGCGCCACAATCCTAAACCCTAAATCCCTAAACCGAAATCCTGAATCCCTAACTCCTGCACTCTGACAGCCCTAAAACCCAAATCCCCAAACTCTGAAAAAGCCCTAAATCCCCAAATCTCGACCTTTAAAATCGACAGCCTGCGCCCGTGAGTTTCAACCCTGTAGGCTTGTTTAGGAGTGCAGGGGTGCAGGGTTCAGGGGTTCAGGGGCTATGAGCCCTCTGAACCCTGGACCCAAGCAGCCCCCAAACCCTGTGAAGCCCCAAACTCCGCGCTCCCAGATGCCTGAGACCGCGGGGCAGAACTGAGGATGCGAGGGATCCGACCTGGAAAAGGGCCGCGAAAGAACTGTTGGGCGGTTTAGGGTCTATGGCAATGATGGGCCAGCGGCTTGGGATGTAAGAGTTTTGGAATTCAAGTGGCCCTTAGGGCACCATGCTGTGGTTAGGTGCGAGCTTCGGGGGCCCTTGTAGACGAAGCTTCTCAATGCATTCGATTCAAAGCAAGCTTCGGGACTTAATAGCCTGGAAGCCTGAAGCCTACTGGGAAGCACCCAAAGCTTTATGCCTGTTGTTAGGGGTTTCGGGCTTCTGCTGCGCACCCAGAAGAGTCGACTCTGCTGGGACGCTAGCAGGATCAGGCTGCAGAAAAGTCTTCACATCGTGGGATTGCTGGTGTTGTTTAGGGTTTAGGGTTTAGGGTTTAGGGTTTAGGGTTTAGGGTTTAGGGTTTAGGGTTTAGGGCTTAAGCCCCGCAGCGAGCCCTGCGACAAAATTCCCACCCGATATCCCTTGACCCAAGTCCCGACAGGTGCTCACATACTGTCCCTAAACCCCAAACCCCAAACCCTAACCCTAAACCCTAAACCCTAAACCCTAAACGCTAAACCCGATAGAGTGCAGCGGGGTGGCAGGATGAAGGCAGCATCTGCCTCCATGCCAGCATGCGCGACCTGTCAGTGGCTAGGAGCTCTGGGGTCTACCGGTGACGCTGGGCTCGGATGGTCTACTTGCTAATGCAGAAAATCCTATATTGAACCGAAGGCACCGATACTCTAAGGCCTCTAAATGATGTGGTCATTTCTCTAAGTTCTGGTCCCTTTGGGTTTTCTATTATAAGGCGGCCCCTAAGAGGTAGGGTACCCAAGAAGGGACCATCTTCTAGAGATTCTAGGGAAGTGACCATATGAACGCTCAGCACACAACGTAGAAAGCCAAGGGGCTTGGCACTGGCGCGGCGCTCCGTTCGCGACTCTCCTTACAAGCAATTTGGGTGTTGAACCTCAACCCTTAGCCCTCACCTTTAAACCCTAAACCCTCTCTTTCTTATGTGTATACGACACAAACACATATATATATATATATGAATATATATATATATATATGAATATATATATATATATATCATTTTTGAAGCTTAAAGTTTAGGGTTTGGAAACAGGATTTCAAGGCACCATGGAATCCCTTTAAGTTGGTGCAAAGGAGGGGGGGCCGGATGTAAAGACGCATAATCCACACATAAGGGAATTTGCCTCCTCCCCCCCCCCCCCAACCACCCCATACCCTCCTCTGGCAATACTATAGATCTCATTGCAGCCAGTTGTGTCGAACCACCAATGCCTTTCTGGGCTTGTCAGAGCTCGAAACCGTAAACCGCAAACCCTAAACCCTAAACCCTAAACCCTAAACCCAGTACCATCTTCCAGTGCCCAGGCACAGATCCAGCAGCTCGGTGTTCTCGCAACAGACCTGCTGCCCACACCCTAAGCCCTATACTCTACACCATGAAGCCTAAACCCTAAACCCCAGACCCTAGACCCCGTGATGACTCTACAAGCAACCCGAAGGCCTATAAAGCAACTGGTTCGGGTTTCACAAGGGGGTTTAGGCATGGACATGGCACCCGAGCAAGAGGCCATCTTGCTTTAGCACTGCTGGAAGAAGCACCCTAAACCCCCAAGCCCTTAAACCCCGAAGCCCTAAACCCCACCTGCAACCCCAAAACCCCTAAACCCGGCTAGTTGCCATGAAAGCCGACGGGGCGCTTATGGTGAAGACAACGGCAGGGCATCGGAGACACCAGGCACAGAGGTCTACTTGAAGCTTCGCGGGTAGGTTCGAGGTACCCCCGGTAATGTTGGAAGCAGTGAAAACTATAATTCAGCTACCTGGGATTCGCCTACCAAGTATGATCCGTTTAAATTGTAGAGCTGAGACACCTGGTAGGTTCGGCATGCCAGTGACCTCGGGCGGCTTGGAGTTGAGTCTGCAGTCTGAATTCTAAACTACCCGACACATGTGCATATGTAGGGTTTAGGGTTTAGGGTTTAGGGTTTAGGGTTTAGGGTTTAGGGTTTAGGGTTTAGGGTTTAGGGTTTAGGGTTTAGGGTTCAGGGTTCAGGGTTTAGGGTTTAGGGTGTTTGTACATCGAAGGAGAAATGGCAATTGGTTGGGCTTCTGTTTAGGGCTCTCTGGGTTGCGCTCGCCCCAGCGACCAACAGCCCCTGGCGGGCACAAAGCGGGAAAAGGAAGGGACCCCTAGAAGGGACCCGAGATGTTGTTCCCCTATATAAGCCCTATATACCCGAAATAACCCCTAAATTACTCCTAAGGTCTCTTATAAGGGTGTTTCCCCTCCCCCCTCCCCTCCCCCCACCAGTCCCTTGATATAAGTGGGCAGCGCCTCACGGCATGGTTGCTTCAAAAGCTTCGATCTCGCCCTTTCTACATTCAACCCCTATAAGAGGCTACCGATACACCCCTGAACCCCAAACCCTGAACCCATCAACTCACCACAGCAACCGGAAGCTGCCTCTTTTTTCTCAGCAGGCGCGGTGACGGGTCGGAAACTTGCATGCGCAACCCTCGGAAATCCGAGGGGCGACGGGGCCACCTAAACCCTAAACCCTTCAAATCACCTAAACCCTACACACCCTAACGCTATGCACCTTAAACTTAGACCTCTCCGTTTTACGAAACCCTAAACCCTAAACCCTAAACCCTGAACCCTGAACCCTAAACCCTAAACCCTAAACCCTAAACCCTAAACCCTAAACCCTAAACCCTAAACCCTAAACCCTAAACCCTAAACCCTAAACCCTAACCCTAAACCCTAACCCTAAACCCTACACCCTAAACCCTAAGGCCCCGCAGGCGCCGCATTTGCGGGCCCGCGCCCCTCAGCGCCGCGTACCTGGAAGCTTGGGAGGATCTTTGGGGTGCCCAACCTGGGGGCCTTTGTCTGGGCTTTCGAGGGGCTTTAGGGCTTTAAGGGTTTCAGACTTTTGACTCTTAAAGGGTTTAGGGTTTCAGGGTTTTATTTTAGGGTTTAGGGTTTCAGGGTGTTGGGGTTTTAGGGTTTCTGGAAATCTTAAACCCAAAACCCCAAAGCCGATCCAGCCCAAGCCAGCTGCAAGCTGATGTTGAAGCCGACTTCGTCCACCGACGCAACGTTGCTCTCGTGGTCGTCGTGGTGCAGCATCCACACCTCAAACCCTAAACCCTAAACCCTAAAACCCTAAACCCTAAACCCTAAACCCTAAACCCTAAACCCTAAACCCTAAACCCTAAACCCTAAACCCAACAGTGCTCTCGATCATTTTGAGCTTTGGGTGTCAAGCTGCAAGAAGGATGGAGGGTCCCTGTTGCTGCCCCTGAACATGTATCTGCATCCGCTCTTGGTGTGGTTCTACGAAAGCTGAAGGCCGAAACAGCAGGGAGCACCCCCTCTCAATAAAGTCACTAAGGGAGATGGGCTTCTTACAACGAACTACACCAGTACTTTCCCCAAAATCTGGGCATCTTGACCCTCTACTCATAACCTCATAACTGATGACTCCTATCTTACATCTTACAACCAGGGGGGGGGGGCTCTCTTTTTCACCCCACCCCCCAAAGGTCGTAGACCCCCCCCGCGCCCACCCAAGCAAACAAACAAACAAAAACAGAAACACGGCCCTAACCCTCAAACCTAGAAACCCTGAAAACCCTGAAGAACCCTGAAGCCCTGAAACAATGCCCTGAAACCCTAAAACCCTAAATCCCTGAAACCCTAAAACCCTAAATCCCTGAAGCCCCTGAAGCCCTAACAACCCCTCGATGTGGAAAAGCCCCAGGCGCGTGGAAGTATCGCACCCAGGGAGCTCCCGCAAGGAGGCGCCAGAAGCTCATGATTCCTGGAGGATGGCCCTTAAAGCCCTCTAAAAAAAGATGCCTAAACATAGCCCTCTTAGACCCCAAAAAGGGAAAATATACCCCCCTCCCAGACAAAGCCCCTCTTAAACCCAAAGGGGCTTTGGTTTAGGGTTTAGGGTTTAGGGTTTAGGGTTTAGGGTTTAGGGTTTAGGGTTTAGGGTTTAGGGTTTAGGGTTTAGGGTTTAGGGTTTAGGGTTTAGGGTTTAGGGTTTAGGGTTTAGGGTTTAGGGTTTAGGGTTTAGGGTTTAGGGTTTAGGGTTTAGGGTTTAGGGTTTACAGTAGGGTTTAGGGTTTAGGGTTTAGGGTTTAGGGTTTAGGGTTTAGGGTTTAGGTTTCAGGGTTGAAGGTTGAGGGTTGAGGTTTAGGGACCAAAAAAAGGGAAAATGTGAAATGTCCCAAAGGGCCTACCGAGAGTCGGTTCAGCTTCTTCAGGCCGTTCGTCACATAACATCCCGTCACCTGCTGCCACTACTTTGCTTAAGAACCACCGCCGCAAAAATCTTCCTTCTTCTTGATGGGAACCGCCCCCCCCCCCCTCCTCAACAAAAAACAACTTCTTGGTAAGGCCAGGATAGGGATTGTTTTTATTAGTTTTTTTTGGGGGGGGGGGCCAAAGGGGCCCTAACTAAGGTTGTGACCAGTTATAACCTCCTTGCAAGGACGCAGGAACCTTCCATAGAGCTTCGGGTTTAGGGTACAGGGTGCTGCGCTGCTCATTGGGATATGGGGGTTTCCGAAAATAGGGTGTGCCCTTTTTGGGGGTCCCCGTAAGTGGATTCTATTCTATTTGGGGTATAACGGCGTACCCTTACTTTGGGAACTACCCATATGTAGAACGGCAGCCGAAACGTGAGCCGTGCAGCACTGCGGGTGTCTGTGGAGCAGATGAACTCGATCACCGCCGGGCGCGCGGTGCAGTCCTGTGCTGATTTGGTGGCTTTGTCGTGGTTTCCCAAAATAGGGGTACCCTTCTTGGGGGTCCCTTGAAGGGGCTTCTATGCTATTTGGGGGTATAAAAGGGGCACCCCTTTTTTTTTGAAATGCCCGTTTTGAGTTGCATCATCACAGAACTCCTGCCAGCCCTGAATGTGCTTCGCCCTTGTAGGCGCTCTCAAACCTCCCCGTATCTGCGATGCTCCACAAGAAGCTGCCGTTTGACATTGTGGGGAGGAGGAGGGGCGGGCGGGTTCTTTACGTGCACTAAATCGCAAAATCAGGTTGTGTGTAGGGTTTCCTCCTCATGACAGGTGTTGTCACGAGTGCGCCATTAGTCCGAGAAGACTGATATGGTGCACTGGAGTCGACATCGTTTGATGTCTGTGCGGGCTGCCAAGTCACACTCGTATGCAGGCACAAGTTGTCTGCTGCGTGCTTGCAGTTACGTAACAGCTGCATTCAGGAGGGACCCCCGCACCTCCCACCCTTCTCCCGTCAAAAAGTAGAGAACTTCAAGGAGCCGAAAACTTGGCCCATAAACTGCTATAACCCATGCTACTGAAGGGACACCCTACCTGGTTTATAGTTGGGATAGTAATAAAAGTTTAAAATTCTATTCTTTTTGAGTTTAAGTACCCTTAAAAATGTAAAATGTTATCCCACTATGACAAAGCTACTTGTAGGAACCTTCAAAGACCCGGTTGCTTGGAAGGCTACGCGTTGAGACCCTGGCAACAAACACGCGAGTTCACGAAGCCGGGTCTGATGAACCACATGCCCAAACCACTTGCCCAAACTGGTCTACGCTTCAGGGCTCGGGGCTTCGGGACCACTACCCTCAATAAGAAAACTAAGGCCACCAAACACCCTAAACCCTAAACCCTAAACCCTAAACCCTAAACCCTAAACCCTAAACCCTGAACCCTGAACCCTGAACCCTGAACCCTAAACCCTAAGCCCTGAACCCTAAACCCTAAACCCTAAACCCTAAACACTAAACCCTAACCCTAAACCCTAAGACAAGGATCCGCGCTCTGCATCCACAGGACGTTACCCATCCCAGCCCCATGGGGCCCGAAGACCAGGTATGCTGAGCTGAAGAGCCTGTACCTTGGTTCAGGGTCCCTAAACCCTAAACCCTAAACCCTGAACCCGAAACCCTAAACCCTAGACCCTATATAAACCCTAACCCTAAACAGCAACCCTAAACCCTAAACCCTAAACTCTAAACCCTAACCCTAAACCCTATACCCTTCCTTGATATGGCCTGACCAAGGAAGAGAAAACCCTGCAACGCGGTGTCCAGGTGCTGCTGCTCGAAACTCATTGGCTTGTCGCCATCCTGAGTCCCCGAGTGGACGTGGTGACGGGCTCACAGGGTTTAGGTTTAGGGTTTAGGGTTTAGGGTTTAGGGTTTTTCTTACGATTTTTGTTCTCACTGCTATTTATTCTGATCCGTCTTCTTTATTGATATTCGTATCGCTGTTTTGGGTCTCTGTAAGCCAAGGACTTCCTGGAAGGCCAATCGTGCCGTGGACGGCGGAAGGAAGGAACAAACTTCCGTGAAGATGCATATTATTGTTATTGCTGTTATATTATTATTACTATTATATTATTGTTATTGCTTTTGTTATTGCTCAGCAAATCATTACGTCTGTTAGTATTGCTAGTATTGCATTCCTGATCTTCGCCCAGCTTCCTTGCCATTGTACAGCACGATGCTGTCAGGAGGCCGCTGCGCCGCGCGCAAGGCGTCCTTGGCCAAGTCCACGAGGCGTCGGAACTGCGACTTGTCCAAGAGCCTCCCCGCGCTAGGCTTTCGGGTATTAGGGCAGACAACTTCGAAGCCGGGTGGCCCATTAAGGGGGCACCTACTATAGCTTTAAAGCCCTAGAGCCCTAAGACCCCATAAAGCCCCGTCGGGTTGTGAAGGCCCTTTTCTACCATTTGCTCACGGTGTGTTGTTAAGCAAAGAGTAGTTTTATCATGTATTGTGTGGTTGCCGTATTTATCTATGTCGGTCTTCCTCTTTATATCCTTCCCCTGTGGTGTCTGCATGTATTTCTCCGTCTCTCCTCCTATCAACGGATTCAATCTGGGCTTAGCTCCAAAACATCCGGAGCTTCTTGCTTAAATGGCTTGTGGCTGCCCAGTTTCCTCTTACCTTTGGAGAAGGAACTGTTTGATCCTCAAGCTATTTCGTTGCTAAGTTGTCCCAGTAGCTGTCCTTCATGTTTCAAGAACCATCTCTGTAGCCATGCCAGCTGACTACTCAATACCTCGCCAAGGTATGCCAAGTCTGGGTGGGCGGAGCTTAGTTCGAACAAGACGAACAGCTTCGCATTTTGGATACGAAGTATACAAGGTATGTAAATCAAGAGTTTTAGTCAAAAAGCCCGGTAACCGTGTCAAAAAGCGTTTAAAGCAGCGACATGCTGAAAAAACAAATCACCACGGTTAACAACACCAACGGGTATGTTTCTTCACGTATGTAATGTTGGACCTGGATTTGTGGGGGCCTCCTCTATACAGTCAATTTGGCTGTGTTATTCAGGATACCCTGACTGTTTGGGGTCCGAGGGGCAGGGAAGGGGCAGGCAAGGGGGGCAGGGAAGGGGGGGCAGGGAAGGGGGGCAGGGAAAGGGGGGCAGGGAAAGGGGGGAGGGAAGGGGGGCCGGAATGAGGGGGCGGAATGAAGGGGGGGGGGGAAACCCTTATCCATAAAATCCAAAGCTTCCTTGGGAGTTTTGTTTGATGTTGAAAGGTATAAACCCTACGGGATTATTGGCAGTATTTGTGAGTTGTAGGGTTCCAGGGTGTTGCTCGGAGCCGTATTCTCCTTCTCGTTCTGGGAATAGGGTCTGGGCTGTAGCGAAATTTCCTTAGTGGGGAAGGGAATCTGTAGGGCGTTGGAATAGGTTTAAGCCTAAACCTCAACAGATAGGGTTTGCAGGAATAGGGCTTAGGCCTAAACATTTCAGAGTACTCCGTAGGCACGCGAAGCATGACCATTCCTAATCATTACTCCTGTGCAAGTATGATATGGCAAGAGGAATTGGGTCTGGGTCTAAACTTTAAGCGAATAGTTCGCATGTAGGGAACTCTTTAATGCTTAGTGGAGCTTGTGAGGGAATCAGCGAAGGGCCTAGTTGTTCATTTTACTCATCATTATTCGTAAACAAGAGCCCGGCATCTAAGACCCACCATAAAACACTGCAACACATGGGTTACCAATAATCATGCAACAAACATAGTTAAATATCATCATCACACAGAACATGTAATGTTGAGCCTTGAGCCCTGTTGTTGGCCCCCCCCCCCCCCCCCCTCCCCCCCCCCCCCCCCCCCCCCCCCCCTGAACAGTCGAGGCTGGGTTTGTCCTGTTTGGACGCTCCCGGGGGTTAATATGATTTTATTAGGGAGGAGTTTAAATAAGGGGCAGCGATGCCCGGCTATCTTTTTAAAGGCGCGCCACGTGGAATTTCTTACGGCGCCCGGACGATTTCCCTCTTTAAACTCCCCCCCCCCCCCCCCCCAGGGTTTAGGGTTTAGGGTTTAGGGTTTAGGGTTTAGGGTTTAGGGTTTAGGGTTTAGGGTTTAGGGTTTAGGAGCCTCCCAGTCGTCGTGGTCCCCTCAAGCCGCTCGTAGGCGATGACTCGGTCAACCGTGCCAGAGGCCACCTTCTGCCTCTGCTCTTACTCTTGATGTTGGTTAGTAGGGAATGAGGGAATGAGGTACCCAATAGAAATCTCTTAAAGGGTGTATATAGGGGATATAGGGTGCCCCATTCCCTCATTCCCTACTAACCAACAGTAAGTACTCTAGACCCGGAGGAGTAGCCTAGGAATAAAAATGGCACCCTTTTTGGTTGTCAGGGGATCATAAGGGAACCCAACCCTAGAAAAAGGAAATAAGGGCCTACTCCGGGTCCTGGTACTGACGCCACTGACGCCCCATTCCCTAAGGCCCTAACGGTCCATGTAAAATAGGGGCCTTAAGCATTAGAACAGGGTTTGCAGGGTATTTAGAGTATGTTTATAAAGGAGCGATAAGGGAATACTAGTAGTGATTATTCCGACCCTATACTACCCTTATAGTACATACTTGGGCCCCTAAAGCTACTTTGAAGGAACCCCTTTCGGGCACAAGTCTACACTATGTAGGTACATGGACCCTTAGGGGTTAAAGCGCTGCGCAGGTTGTGTAAAACCCTATGGCCCCATAAGCCATCTAAACGCTGCAAACCCTATGCGCCCTATAAGCCCTATAAACCCTAGAAGCCCTGCACAAAAACTACAAGCACTGTAAACCCTGTAAAACCTGCCAACCCTATAAAGCCTAAACCCTGCGAGCCCTGCAAGCCCTGTAAACCTGAAGCCCGTTCCCACTAGTACTAACAGTGCTTAATAGGGATTATAGTGTCCCCTAGTACAATCCCTACTAAGGACTGTTGGTATAAGGGGGAACACCCCAAAACCCTAAACCCGAAACCCTAAACCCTACCCTCTTGGCACCACTCGGGACCAAGGGGCGTCACGTGCTGCCGCACGTGCGCGACGAGCGCGGACAGCCTGCGGGGGCGGGGGTCACTTTCTTGGTAGCCCAGTAACCATATCACAATAAGAGCACCCTCTTTTTTGGGGTTGGCTACTTTTTTGGCATAATCAGAAGCACCCGTTTTTCTTTGGGGGGGGGGGTTGGCTACTTTATAAGGGAAGTCTTGAACCCCCCCAAAAAAGGGGAACGGATGCCACTGGGCTACCAAGCTTGATAGAGGCAGAGGGGCTCCACAGGGCTTAGGGTTTAGGGTTTAGGGTTTAGGGTTTGGGGGTATTCAGGTTTCGAGTTCGGGAACTCAGACTTGGGCCTGCGACCCTGGACTTGCCTGTCCTCTCAAACCCAATGGACCGTCGGGAACTCCACTTTCTAAGTAGACCACTAAATTTGGAGAGGGGGGGGTAGTTATAGATGGGTCGAGTAGGCCCTTAAAGTTCCTGAACCTCAGTCCCAGGAACCCTATACCCTAAACCCCAAACCCTAAACCCCAAACTCTAAACCCCAAACCCAATACCCTGAACCCCAAACCCCAAACCCCAAACTCTAAACCCCAAACCCAATACCCTGAACCCCAAACCCCGAACCCTAAACCTCTAAACTCCCAGGTCTTCCTGAGCAGCTCGGGCCGCACCACCCAGCTTTTGGGATTCAGCACCGTGACTTTGCTCTCCTGGCTTCGCAGTTTCTTCGGCATAGGGTTTGGGGTCTTTGGCGGGGGGGCCGAGGGTTTAAAGCTGTGCCCCTATAAAAACCTGATTGGTAGGATCGGGTATGGATACTAGGGTCTAGGGAAAGCAGCGACAAATTTGGAGCGAGAGCTGCGTGTCCACAAGAGTCGTTGCAGCAGGTGCAAGCCACTACACCCCAGACCCTAAACACTAACGAACTCCAAATCCTAAACCCCTTAACATCCTAAACCCTAAAACCCTAAATCCTGAAACCCCAAAATTTAACGTTAGCCAAGTTGTATTTGGGGCTTCGAGGCTCCTGACCTTTGACAGCATACCATGAGGTTTTTATATACCTTGATCCCGAAAGTTGTGTTGGCTGCGACACGGGCTCTGTGCACACGATGGTGTCTGCAGGCACGTAGACGATTCTCTCATGCAACTTGCTGTCGAACCACTGCAGGAATTGCGGAATCTTCCCTTTGGAATCTGTCTCCACGGCAATGGTCGAGGTGTCCATCGTCGTGTAAATCCAAAACACCATAGGCAGTAAGTCCGTGATCACGTGCCCATACTGAAAATAACGCGGAGCGAAAGCCCTGTACAGAGTCACGGGCTTTGAGATCGTCAGGCCACAGTTGATGGGTTGCGAGGTGGTGGGGAATTCTGAGAAGAAGTGCTTGTTCAAAGAGCTGGTCGTGACGTTCTTAGTCCACAAGTGGATTTGCCACATCATGTTGCGAGGGCCCAGAGGGTGAGATGGGAAGATGAAGTGACCCGATTGCAGTGTCCGGAGCTCCCAGATTTTGATAGGAGGCCGCGCGGCCATGTCGAGCGTGCGCTGATAGTAACCGGACCAAACCTTGTGGTTGCATTGCTGAAGGGCGTGGGCGCTCGGGATCAGTACGGCCCCAGCTGCCTTGAGGTAGCTCACTTCTTTTGCTTTAGAGTTCTCAACTCAAATTTCTTTAGAGTTTAGGGTATATAGACGAGAAATCGAGGTTCAGCTCCAGAAGTCAGGTCAATCAAAAACAATCCCGAAAGCAGAGCCAGGCAGCCGTCTCTGCGAAAGAGCAGGGCTCGTCGTCGGGTTTCCCCAGCTTGTCGAAGGCAGATGCCCCTCTCAGTGAAAACACCACAAGGCAGGCGAGGATCCGCATTGCGGGAGTCCACGTTCGTGGAGCGCATTAGCGGAAACAGCTTGGCATGAAGGGTCATTGGGGCCCTGAGGTTTAAGGCAGGGAGCTTAAAGGGCGTAGGGGTCTTCAGGCTGAGTGCTTTCGGGGTTTAGGGTTCATTGAGGGTCATGTGAGGACAGCTTGAGAGCCAGAGGCGGCAGAGGAAGGGGCTAGGGTGTAAGTGCACCCGGTACCCTAAACCCTAAACCCCCTAAAAGCCCCAGAACGAGGTCAGCCCTGGAGGCCCTGAAAGCCCCTCACAATCTGGACTCTAAAGCCCCCCCCCCCCCCCCAAAACAAAAAAAAAACCCAAGATGCTCCAGAAACCACCCGTTCGCATGTACCCCCTTGCAGGAGCTGGGGTTGCACTTCATCACTTCGAGGATGTGGCACGAAGCCTTGTTCCCCCTAAACGTCAAGCCCAAACGCCAAACCCCCTACACCCTAAACCCCAACCAGCTTTTCTACAGAGCCGTGCCGGGGATTGCGAGGTTTCAGCGTTGACAACTTTACCATCAGGGCCGCCAACACGAAAGGCGGTGCTCCTAAACCCTAAACCCTAAACCCCAAACCCCAAACCCCAAACTCTAAACCCCAAACCTTAAACCCTAAACCCTAATTCCGGTAGCTAAGGTTTATGTAAGCCTCTCACAAAAACGTATCGGGTTTCCATAAGTATAGGACTCCGGTAAGGAAACTACACACCTGAAACTGCCCAATCAAGGGACAACAGAGATGCCACAGCTAGCCCAAGCCACGAAACCCTAAGCCCTAAAGTATCCCTAACCCCAACTAAACCGTAAGCCTATAGCCAAGGCTCCTGTAATCAAGCTACTGGGAGAGCGGGAAGCCCTAAACCGTCCCTGACACCCAACAGCAGCCTTTTAGGACTTGCTATTCTCAAGTGCACAAATAAGAAGCACCGGGCACTGAAGACCTCTGGTGATCATGAGTACCTTGGCTTCGGCATTGGGCACGTTTCACGAAAACTTAACCACTGGGGTCAAAGGCCATGCCTTCGGAGCGCCAGCTTTGAGACCTGGCAGAAAGCAGACCACTCCTTCTCTACCGCCTCAAACTTAGAGAGTGCGAGGACTGCTTCTTGGAGGTGCTCAGTGGACAAACCGCTCAGCAGCTCGGCCAGCTCTGCCAAGGACAAGCGCCTGTCTTTCTGCGGCACCGAAAAGAGTGCCTTTAAGTACGCATCGGCGAAAAGCCAGGTGGGTTGCACGCCCAGCTCATCCATTTCATGTCGAATCCGCTGGAAGTCACTCACCGGTCTCCCCGCAAACGTGGAAATTAGGGCGGTAAAGACCTGAACATCGGGAGTCAATGACATGTTCAGCATTGAGTTAAACAGGAACATGGCAGCATTATAGGCTTTGTGTTCGGCAGCAGTGCACGCGCGCAGCGCAGATGTAAAGTGTCCAACATCAGCGCTTAGATTCATTTGGACCATTTCATCCAAGACCTCAGCTGCTGTGCGAATGTCCCCTTCGTCCGCTGCCGCTACGAGGCGTGCAGCCGCCATCGTCTCATCCATGCGATACGCAGCCCTGGCTTCCTGCCAAACTTGCTTCACCGACGACCAGTTTCCTGTCTTCCCATACAGCTTCAAGGCCAGGTTGAACGTGAGAACCTCTTTATTCAGCTCAAGATTACACAGACGCTCGTACAATGCCACACCAGCTCTGTACTGCCCACAGCCCAGCGCGGCATTCATCTCCACATCGAAGAAGGGTGTTTTATGCACTTTGCTGGTCGCGCGAAGCTGCTGAATCCTCTGCCAATCCGAACGAGTCGCGGCCTCATTCACCTGTTGCAGGAGCCTGGCCTCGCCCTTGGTCAGGAGATAATCCGTCGAAGATTGGCTTGCTGCCGAGGTGTAGAACCTGCTAGGCTTGCGCGGACGGCCTGGGCCAGCTTCATTCGAGGCGTTGCGTCTGTGCTCTGGTACAGCGCTGCTGAACTGAATCGACGGCTTGCCCCAAAGCAGGGCGGACGCTCCCACTGCCCAGAGCACACAGAAGCTCTTCAAGCCCGATTGGCCTCGCGCCACTCGGCGAAGCCCTTGTCCGAGCTCCAAGCTTTGAGTCGCCGTCCTTCCGGGCTGAGAAGCCTGGGGAAGACAGCTTCGCAATGGCTGCAAGAGGATGCCATCAGCGTCGAGCATGGCTTGAACTCCCCAGCTTAAGCTATAGAAAACTCCGAGGCTGCTTAGCCCAAACTTTGCCATCCTAGAGGGGCTCATGTCATGGTCATCCAATGTGAGAGAGTTTGGAAAGGGCCGTACCCTAAACCCGAAGCTTCCTTTATGTCAACAACTTTATGCGCTTCCGTCCTTGGAGGCATGAGGTTTAGGGTTTAGGATTTAGGGTTTAGGGTTTGGGTTTAGGGTGACCTCCACAGACCAGGGGCTGCATCTGTGGACGCCACCGTACATCGAAGCCTTCTACGCCCATGGCACATGAAATCCATGCAGCGCTGTACCCCTTTGGGCCCCTGGCGTCATCTCGTTCCTTGGCACAAGTGCAGCCCAGAATGTTTTTGCAAGCTTGGGGGTAGTCGTCTGGTCTTCGGGTTTGACTAAGCCCGAAAAACCCTCAGCCAAACCGTAGCCCCCAACCATAGCCCCTAACCCGAGACTTAAACTAGCCTAAGTCCGAGTGAAAAATGCGAAGTTCCTTCAGATGCGCTCATACTCGGGGCTCATCCTAACTGCCCCTTTCCGCATCGCCGGCTCAGAAAGATGACATTCCGGATTCCGACACTCCCAGACAGCCCTAAACCCTAAACCTACAGTAAACCCTAAACCCTAGACCCTAGACCCTAGACCCTAGACCCTAGACCCTAGGCCCTAAGCCCTAAGCCCTAAGCCCTAAGCCCTAAGCCCTAAGCCCTAAGCCCTAAGCCCTAAGCCCTAAGCCCTAAGCCCTAAGCCCTAATCCAACCCTACCCCCTAACCCTTCCTTGATCCCAAGACGCATCACGCTGTCGGCGACGGACGCGGCAAAGTCCGTCGGAGTCAGCGCCGTGGGCGTTGCCGTCACCCCGGCCTGGAGAGCTAAGGGTTTAGGGTTTAGGGTTTGGGGTTTAGGGTTTAGGGTTTGGGGCTTCTAGGGTTTATAGAGGGCGCCAGTACCCCTCACCCTCTCCCCCTAGGACTGCACAAGGCTCAACTACAGGCTGTTTGGGGCTTTTTCTGATCAGGGTGCACTTAGCAGGAGGGGGCCCCTGTCAATACTTGGAACCCGTAACCTATTAAGACATAGAGCTTATATCTCAATTCAAGGCTCTTCTATGACTTTACCTCTCAGGTTTCGCAGTCAGAGTTGCTTATTTTCACGCGCAGGGTCGCATTCGATCGCTCCCGAACGCAAAAACTCACGTGACTGCAAGGCCGAACACCTCCCAACGCCGCTCCATTACCTCTGGAAGGCCTCGCTAATTGCAACTGGACCAAAGGATTCTCACGAACCCTACAAGCAACGTAATCGTTATCATTGAGTAGGTTTAGCAGGTAAGCCCTTAACCTTTACAGCTGCTCAGTGGCAAACTCGCCTGGCGAGGGGGCGGTCCGAAATGTCATCTCTCTTACGGGTTCTTAGAATTAGGCACGCCCCCCCCCCCCCCCATGACTCTTAGGGGCCGTGGAAGGAATCGGTGCAGTGACATGTACTCTATTATCCTTCAAGGGCTCTTTGAAACAGGCACGCTTTCATCCTTAAAGGGTTCTATCGAAAAGGATATGGAGTACCTACTTCGGAAGACTTCCAGCCCAGGATATCTGCCATGAGATCTGCCCATCCAAGAACGCTCTGTTTAGGGCTTCGGTTCTTTCAGGCCATGTCGTCCTCCCAGGGACCTCAAGCCCTTGACTGGGCTCTTGTTCCGGAAGTTGCTTGAAGTTCTCATGATACGGAAACTCCCATATTAGCTGCGACATGTCCCTAATCATGATGGTACCTTAAGCTAGGGTCCTCGACCCGGGACAACGAGTCTCTGCTCGCCTGGGACAGCGCGTCCGCGGTGATGCTTTCGAGATCCATGGCGAACTTCATCTGGGTCCAGGGCTTCGAGGGTTGAAGCTGGGAGGAAGAGGTGGTGTTGCAAGATGTAGAGGTCTTAGGGGGGCAGCTTCTATTGTTGCATGCCCTTGGAACCCGGAACCCCAAAGAAGTGTGCGAAGAAGGCTCTGAAGGAAACCTGTTGCATCTGCAAACCTTTGACCACACTGCACCATCTGCAGCCGCTATCACCGCAAAAGTTGCATGGGGCTGTGGCCCAGAAGAGCTGCTCGCGCAGCAGACTTCTACCCAGAGAGCCATACCCCTTCACGTAGGGGAATGTACCAAACATGATGAAGAATCAAGTTGTGATCGCTACTGAGCGGTATTGGGCCCCTCAGTAGACATGCCCTACACAAGGCTTAATGAAGGGGCTTATTGCCCGAATGCTATGCAAGGTTTGCAAGGCTTGCAAGCCTAAAATCATCACCCCAAACAAACAATCCCCACGCCCCAAGGGCCCCTAATTTTGCAGAAGCAACGAAACCGCTTCAAAACGAAGACTCACACACACGCAACACAAGCCGCACTCCCCCGAAACCTTCCATAAAAAAAGAAGAACAGCCTTGGCAACTGTCATTCTAGCCAGAGTCCTCACATCTATGGAGATCTGGAATCCTTACAAAATCATGAAGCACAGCGGTCTCCCAACAGAAGCGGCCCTAACCTGTACAACCGTGCTCCCGAAAACCACCCCTGAACCCTAATTCCTAAGCCCTGACCCGGATCCCAAAACCCTGTACCCTAATCCCGAAGCCCTAAACCCTGAACCCCAAACCCTAGACCCAGAACCCTGATCCCTAAACCCTAAACCCTAAACCCTGAACCCCAAACCCTAAACCCTAAACCCTAAACCCCACATCCTCCCAGCCGGCCGTTAGTCCCACGAAGGTCAGGAGTGCCGCCAACTCCACAACCTTCGGGGCTTTGGGGCTTCAAAGCTTTAGGGCTTAAGGGGCGTTAGGGTTCAAGGGTTACAGGGCTTAAGGGGCTTGCGGGTTCAGGGTTCAGGCTTGTCGGATTTCAGGGGTCTCGTGCTTTAGCGACATAGAACTTGATGGCATCTTTTCAGTTCTCACAATTAGGGTCCCTTTTGGGGCTCGAGAGTATTCGGGGCCACCTTCGACTCGTAGCTGCCCAAAAGGGACCATCATTAATGGAGAAGTGACCATGTGCTAGGGACCAGTGGAGGCACTCTTGTTGGGGGACCTCAGGGGTTATTTAGGGGTATGTAGGGACTACACAAGGTATATATCATATATATATATATATGTATATATATATAGGGTTTATATAGGGCAATAAGACTAAGGGTTTTCTTCTAGGGGTCCATCCTTATACCCCTTAGCATGTAGGGTTTGGGGTGTGGGGGGTCGCACCAGCAACCCCAAAGCACAGAAGCCCACAAGTACTCTAGAAGCCTCGGGTTGCAGGGCTGTAGCGTTCAGGGCTGGACGCTAAACCCTGAACCCTAAACCCTAAACCCCAACCCCTAATGGGTCTGAAAAAGCAAGGATCCCTTGTCCCAGGAAGCCTGGAGAAAGCAGAAGAGGATCATCTTCAGGCGGTCGCTGAAGTAGACCGCGTAGATGCCCAAAACTGCAGAATTTAGGGGGGGGGGGGGGGGGTTTAGGGATTAGGGTTTAGGGCTTAGGGATGGACGCCTAGGGTTCAGCGTGTAGGATGTATACTGCTTACTCGATTGCCTTGCTAGTAGTGTGGGTTTCAAGGCTGAAGTTGATCCCTTGCCAGTAGCTCCTTTTTGGGTGTGGCCATACAATATAACACAATTCGGTAGTCCACGGAATCACAGTCTCGTGCGCACGGTTTGAGATTCCGGCTCTTTAGGACATTGAGGCGCTGGGGGCTCTTGACAAGGTGCCAACACTGCCGAAGTAGTAAAACAACTCCGAGGGTCGCTTAAGCATAACGTAAGAAAAAGTTTAAAATCTAAGTTCGGCTTTTTCAAAGGTCTTTTAAGTCTCAAGCAAAGCTCGCAAAGCAAGAGGGCCTCCCTGTGTACACCTAAAACCCTAAAACCCCAAGTCCATCCCGAAACCCCAAACCCTAACCCTAAACCCTAAAAACTGAACCCTAAACCCTAAACCCTAAACCCTAAACCCTAAACCCTAACCTCTAATTCCAGAACTCCCAAAAAACTATAACACCCTAAGCGACCTAACTTCATTCCTAAACCCTAAACCCTAAACCCTAAACCCTAAACCCTAAACCCTAAACCCTAAACCCTAAACTCCCAAGGGAACTATGGCCACACGTCGGCCTGTAAACAAGACGACCGCCAGGCCCAGACCCTGGAAGCCGAGCATGAACCTTTTTTTTGGGGGGGGGGGGGGGGGGGGGGGGGGGCTTTTGGGGTCTAGGGTTAAGGGTTGAGGGTTTCAGTTTAGGGTTTTGGCTCTAGGGAATGAGGGTTTCAGGGATTAGGGCCTACCTAGGAGAGGGTTTGCCGCCGACTGTGGGTGTGCTTCGTTGCTGGGGTCTGGGTTTCCTCTTGATGCCGATTCTTTTGGTCAGGGGGAGCTGAGGGACTTCAAATCTTGGACTGTAATAGTAAAAGTACCATGAACATTGTAAACATAGTAGAGTAAACAAAACAGGTATAGAAGAGTAGTATCATAGTAGTAGTAAGGATAGCGTCATTTAGCCTGCATTTTTTCGGGCGTTGGGCTCTCGAAAGCGTGGGAGGGGTGGGGGGGGGGGGGGGGGGAGGGTCTCGCCACTCGTGCTGACAAGCCGCTCCAGGGAGAAGAAGACCTTCTGTGGGTTTAGGGCTTTAAGGGTGAGAGTCGAGAGTTTAGGGATTCAGGCCTCTAATTGTAGGGTTTAAGGTTCAGGGTGACTTTCACAACTCCTTTAGGGCTTAGGGGCAGGCATTGGGTCCCATGGCCACGGGCAGCTATAGCTCTTCGACAATAAGGGGATCGAGCTTCTCCACTTCTTGTTCCTTCTGCTCCAGCATTCCGCCACAAGCGTCTGCAAAAGGACTAAACCCTAAACCCTAAACTCTAAACCCTAAACCCCTAAACCCTAAACCCCTAAACCCTACGCCCAACACCCTTTGGGAAGAATATCAATTTGAAGAGCG